CGTGGGGGGGGGGGAGGAAAGAGGAGACTTTTTTTAAAGGGGGAGAAGGAACGTACGCGCAAAGAGGAGGGGGGAAATAACGAAGGGGAGGGCGGAGAGGGGGGGAAGGAATTATAGTTTACAGCGCGCCTCCTGCGCACCCACGTCGAAACTCCGGCGCCCGTCCGATGGTATCAATCAAAATAATAATTAACGGCATTCCCCCTATTGATCCGCGGAAAAGCCCATATTAAATTATGAACGAGGCCAGAGGGTATCTAATTAAAAAGGCAGGCTATTTAGCAGGAAGGAAGGAAGGAAGAAGAGAGAGGCCCAAGGTATGGGGAGGTGGAATAAATGCGCGCATCTGTACTTCTGTATGGAGAGGCGCGGGTATTGGAGAAAGGCGCGCTTTGGAAAGGGATGCGCGGGTCCAGCTACGTGTGAACGGGAACCTGGGGAAACTGGGACTTTCTCCTTCCTGGTGCAAAAAGAGGTGTATCCCCCCCCCCCTTGTAAAGAGACTCAAACCCGGTGGCCGCAATAATATTTCGCCGCGCTTGTGAATAAGCCCACACTGGGGTCAGAAGAAGACACGTGTAACCCGATGACGCTCCCTCCCTTAAAACAAACACGAGAAGCGCCTGGGAACCTCCCCGGAGGGCAAACCAAGTCGCTGCTTTTACTGACGAGTAGTTTTGGCGGTCTGAAGCGCCAGCCTCTCGGAGCTGCTAAAGAAATTAGTTTGGTTGAGTTTCGCGGGACTTCCTCCCGAGTAAGTGCACTTACTTGGGATGGTGGCCTTCGCTCCTCCAACCCACCTGTGTCCCCCCCTCTGTTGACACGCGTTCAGACTCTAGTTGCTTGGGAATGAGGGGGGGAGAGACTTGAGGCTTTAACCGATGCCCCGGAGTAAAGCGCACACTTTCAGACTAATCCGAAATGACTCTGGATTAGAAGGGCCCTGTCCTCCTCTCTTTCACCGGACCTTCTGTGAAGTTGCCCCCCAATCCGAGATAATTGCACACCCCCAGGCGTGGCAGCCCTTCTCGCGAGAAGACCCGGCAGGGAAAGCAATGTCGGGAGGATCCGGCGAGACTTGACAAGCCAAAATCTGACAGGTAACGGGGGTTTTACGGACATTAGGGCACAGAAAATCTAACGCTCGACTTGCCTCCTTGACTTTGCAGCCGGCGCCCCGGGCACGGTTTCCTCGAGAGCAAGCCGCAGCGTCCCACCAACCTGGCCCGAAGTCAGAACCTAGAGAGTTGCGGAGAGTCTCCAGTTGACTCGGAGTTTGCTCCCCAAGTCAGCCCGGGTAGGACTTCAGCCGAAGAAAAGGCCTCTCTCTCTAGGCCTCTCGTCGCAGGCCTGGCTGCGCGACTTCCCTGGCTGCGCCTTTCCCCCTTCCTAACCAACAGCCTGCAGAAGTTAGACGCCGTGGATCGCACTGCGACTCTCCGGGATCCGGCCTGCGAGGCGAAGCGGCGTCCGCCGGCGGCTACTGCGCGTTCCAAACCGGTTCTCCTAAAAGGTACTGGTTTTCCTTGGCCTTGGGGAGGGATTTGCCCGTGTTGCCTCCAGGCCTTTTTAAAAAATGGGATTGGGGTTCTCTTTTGGACAGCGGGCAGCGCAGTTGCAAACGTGTATACTCAGGAGTAAATCCCGAAATCTCCACCAAACCCGTTCGGATGCGACTCACTCCGTACCTCCAGAGCAATGACATTACTCGGGCCTTTTCCATGGGGTTTGCTCTCAGAGAAGCGCTTTTAGGATTGCACTGTGGGTGTGTTTAGGATTGCAACCCTGTTTTAATTGTGTGTGTTTTTTTTAAAAAAAAACCTGGGCAAAAACTGGAAAGGGGGGGGGGGATTACACCGAAGGTAAATTTCTTTTTCTTAGTCTTGAAACCCTTTCTGGAAGTCCGATGCAAATCTGGAACCTTTCAACCTTTTTCCTGCTTCCCAGGGACAGGAAAAGTTAAGCGCATTATCTGGGGGGGGGACCATCTTTTAAAAGGATCAAGCGCTTCCTTCACAGGGGACGAGGAGAGGGGGGGGGGGTGGGTTACGGGAAGGGGCTATTCCGGGATGCGAACTTCCATCCGAACTCCAGTGCGGAATCCAGATTCCCCACTTAATCTGGATTCTCCTTCCCTTTCTCGAAAACGCCACCTAATTGAATATCCTACGACGGGCCTCCGCCTTGTCCTCGTCTGCCCCCCAAACTGCTGCTGGGGGGGGGGCAGTTTAAATTATTACCTCGAAAAAGAAAAGAAAAATGGTATGGAGACACGCACTCGCCCCCTCCGACTCCCCCCCCCCCAAAAAAAAGCCAGGCGAAGAAAAAAAAACACGATGGGGTTGGTATTAATTCCGGGGTGAGAGGCCAAGGGTTTCTCTTTTCAGCATAATTTAATTTCTTTCTCTATAAATACTAAATGTAAACTGTAGCCACTGAAGCAAGGGGTTTTTTCCCCCTCCCCTCCCTCTCTTTCGCCTGTAGCAATAAAAGACTCATTTTCTATCGGATTTCAGGACAGAAATGCCAAAGGAACGTGTTTTTGAATACAGAACGGTAATCAATCCTGCAAAGAAAAAAAGGGGGGGTCCTCCCTCCCCCCCCTCTCTCCCCTCTCTCCCCCCCTCTCCTCCTCTCTTTATTATAATGAATTAATTCGACTTTATTTATCCCATTTTCTGGAGCCGACAGAATGTTAATTTGAGCCGAAATTTCCTTCGCCTCTCATTCGCTGACCCCTGGCCCCGCGACTGGCGTGTTGTAATAACCCGACTCTTTCAACAGAAGCCCCGATAATTGTTACCTTATTAGCATGCAAATTGTTTAATTAATATTATTATGGGGAAGCATACAATCCGTCCGTCACTTGACCTCCGGGAGCGCGTCCACGCAAGCAATCAGCTCTGTGCATTTCAGATATACATATTATATATATATATA